AAATTACTTACTTGAATTGTGGGAATAGTTATGCCCACTTCCCACAATTCAAGGGGTTGGTTATGATCCCTCTTAGCTATAAATAGCCTTTGACGGCTACAGAGAAGGGGATCAGAGATTTTGAGATTAAAAATCTTAGATTTTTGGCTCTTGGCATTGATTTTGAGATCTAACTCTCGGCTCTTTGCAAAATTTTGCATTGTGGCCTTTTTGAGATCTGAATCTCTTTGGCAATCGGTCTTTTGGGTGATAAAAGAACCGATCTTTGCCTATTTTGAGCATTTGATCTTGATTTCAAGCTCGGGTATTCAAACTCAATCAACAGAACTTCTACCACGCGCTGGAGTTCATTCACAATCTCGATCAAATCGTCCAAGGGAAGCAATCTTGACGCAAGCATTCAGGGAGGCATCCTATCGCTACTAAAGAACCGACGTTAAACAAGAAGAGATCAAATCAACTCAATTCGCTTATGTGAAAAGTGATTCTGATATGTAATAAATATTTTTTATTAATACAAATTTTGAGATAACATTTTACAACAAACAAATATAGCAATATGGCAATAATTAAATGAGAGAGGGTTAGAGATAGTTAGCCAATTGACACGCTGATGTGTTCACAAGGTTCGGTCCTCTCGACCTACGTCCCCGACCACCTCTCCAAATGGTAATCTACACAACCCAGTTTGGAAGCCAGAACTTCTTCACAAAGATCATCCCAAGATCAAATTCTCACACAATGATCTCCTCGAGATCAAAATCTCCACGTAATGATCTCCTCGAGATCAAGCTCTCCACACAATACAAGATTTAAAGAAAAAGATTTCTCTTACAAGTTTCCTATAGCAAGGATAAAGAGATGAACAAATGAAGCTCAGGGATTTGTGGGTTTTTGAAAATAAAAACTGAAAACAATTAAGAACTTGAGAATGAGTGAAAATGTAAGCTTAGAAGTTCTTGAAAACAAAACTCAAGTGTTTTTCTTTTCTTTCTTAGTTTGCTTAGTTACTGAACAAATGAGGGCTGAAGGATATATATAGACAATTAAAACAATAGCCCAAAATCAAAGAAAATCACAAAATCTAACAAAATCCCTAAAATTCCGGAGTTTGGAAAACTATCCGTTACAGTGTTATCGGTCGAGTGGTGGACCATGATCGATCGACCGATGAGATGACCGTTAGCTGAAACAGAAAGCTGATGATTCTGTCGGTCGACCGATATGTGTTCATCGGTCGACTGGTCATATGTCATCGGTCGGCCGATGAACGTATATCGGTCGACTGATGAGCGGCTGACTCCGGGTTCTAAAAAAAAGCTTCTGATCAGTCGATTGGTAGGGACGAACTAGTCGACTGACAACTGATATATTCCAGATACATGAATATTTCAGAACACCTAATTTTCTAAAATAGATTTAAAATATTAAATTAAATCCAAAAATATTAAAACTTGGGAAAATGACTTTATGTATGAAAATGAATACGTTAGAAGAGAAATTTTCAAAATATCATTTCCCCTATGTAAAAACTTACTATTTTGCAAAAACTATCGAAAATACAAGATTTGAAATGTGTGTGTGTGATCCCCAAATGATTCAAAAGTTATCTACTTTATTTCTTGCCTACATTATGATCTAGAGATAAAATAAAAATGTAAATATCATTTACAATAGAGTATTAGATTAAGTGTCGATATTTGCTCAATTTTGTTGATGAAGCTCTTCTTGAATCGACAATTGAACACTCTTCTTTATTTGATATTCGTTTGAGTCGATCTTTGAGCATTTTAAGGTTTCTTCATCAACTTGCCTCCACCTCCACGGATATCATCGTTATGGCACAAATCCATCCATCCTCCTATTGTGGTACTATATTGCTTGATAAAATACAGCTTGTGTAATATCGCTCAACAAGCATTTAGCACCAATAATGGGTTTATAAATCATTATCAAAACACGAGACCTAACATAGCTAAGGTGGGAGGACATATTTGAATTATTTTTGTCCTGAAAGCTAAACTAGATACCAGTTACAATATGATTATTCTGTCCTATATTCTTTTAATCCGAACTTCAATCACTGGTCCCCCGACAGAGCTGAAATATTATTAATATTCTGTCCTAATTTGTACCATAGTGTAATCTATATATGGATCAATGAGCCACTGAAAAGAGTACATCAAAACTTTTAACCAAACAATTATGTGTCGGATTATGAATTAACAATATATATTAAATTAAAATGTGAAGACATGGAGAGGAATTTATCTGCAAAGGATAGTAAACATGACAATATAATTCAACTTCATGGGCTATTAAAAACTGTTGATCTTTGATATCATATTTGAAAATCATTTTACTTAATATTTTCATTTTGCTATTGAATTATAAACTAACTGTACACAACAAACTAATCTAATTCTTAGCCATTAACTTCGATCTTTTCACCAAAAATATCTAAACAACATCAATGAGATATGAATGAAGCAAGAACCTTAAAAGTTTATTCAGAAAGGTGCTTAAATTAGACCAAGAAAGTATCTAGTGGAGACGGTGACGTAGCACAATCTATAAAATTCTAGAAAAAGTGATTAAACAAACTAATAAAATGTAAACTCACACTAAAATTGCAACGAAAAATAACTTTGAATATCAAACTATAATAGATTAACAACTATTAGTAATAATTGATTCAAAAACTACAGCAAATAAGGAATGCGTTCGCGTTAAACCTGAGGCGTGAAACGTCGAGCATAGTCCACAAATCATAATTGAGTACTCAGCGTTTGAGTCCAATTCCTACTAGTTAGATCCTGCGACAGGGTAACAAAATAAAAGTGTTAGTTCAATATAAGATCAAGGATGTAACAGTTCTAATTAACCACAATATAAGCAATTTGATTAAATGGGAATAAGGGTTTTGATCTGAGTTTTGTAGTTCTCAATCACTGAGGAATTCTGTAGGCATTAGATTTGTGAAGGAGATGTTGCAATGTCGAGAACACTTGATACTATTTACAGATAATATTTATGTATACTGTTCACCCGAGGGTTCGGATCTAACAGAATAAGCTTAAAAGGCACAATTGGAAACACTTCGGAAATCTCTTTGATCAATAATTCTCATTCAAAATTTTCTCACTCTTACATAAAAGTTCCTTCCTTTTATAGAGTTTCAAATAAACAGAAGATAATTCAAATGTTCTCTAAAAACATGTAATTGCTTATCTTTAAACAAATCAAATCTTACCTAAAAACATGTAAATGCTTATCTCTAAACAAATCTAACCAAAACAATCTCAATTCTATCAATAATTTATTTTTATCCTAACAATAACAAAGTAAAATCTGAATTATTACAAACCAAATAAAATCTGATAATATCTCAATGAGATCTACGATGTTAAGTCCCTCTAGAATAGAAGCGGGTATGTTAATCCCTATTAGACGGTTTATGATATTTAATGTGTACAAAATGGATATCAACTATTGGATCCATGCACGAATTTCAAAGTTTAATGATCCAAGAGTTGACATCCTTTTGATGCACATTTATTGCCATGAACCAGAGGATTTGGGTGGATTGTACATATCAACACGTGTGCCTGCCTTTAGCACCAAATACTACTTACTTGTGCACATGTGCACCTTGATTTTGTTGGAATTAATTAAAAGATTGAAGTTTCTTCTTTAATGCAAATATTATTTTTTAGGGGTGTATTTGCATATTACCTATTTCCTTCCTTATCTATTTCTATAACGCTTCTGTTTCCCAAATTAACACCCGTCATCCTCCGCTCTCTCCTCCTTTCCCATTCTCTGCTCATTCCTCCGAACGGAAATCTCGTCGGTAACGTAGGCGTCATCTCCGGCCTAATTAACGAGCGTGGACTCCTCCTTGATGGCAGCAATTGTTCCAATGGAAAATTCAAGATAGCTATAAAAAGGGGATTACGATGAAGGAAGGAAAATGAGCAGCTTCAGTTCTCTCTCTCTCTCTGACTTATTTTCTCTACAATTGATTTCTAATTTAATTTTGGGGCAAACATCCATTGAGCAAGAGATCAAAGTTTCGCAGTAAGCTTTGTTGCCGGCTTTCTCGGGGGGTTCTTACCGCTAGGCGTAGTCGCATCATATCGTCTCTGCGAAGGCGGCGACTATTGTTCTAGGGCAGTGATCACACGATTACCCCTTCTCAGGCCTGCGTTTCCTAACCCTCTTTTGAATCCTTTTGATTATTTGCAGGGATTTTTTCTAACAAGATATGTGAATATCATCATCCACATATTAGCTGAATCAAAATCTAATTTATGAGAGCTTGCAGAAACCTAAATTAACATGATTGACACAATACAAACTGCTGCTGATAGAACTTGTATTCTTAAAGCTGAAACTCTTTCAATGTAATGATTGCTTATAGATAATTAAGTAACAAAGTCAAATAAATTCAGCTAGAGCTTTCGACTCATTCATTCTTTTATGGGTGCGTGCTTTCTTGGGAGAAATTTATTGGATGCCCTGTCAGAGTATCACATGTCGCAGTTTCCTCAACATAACTAAACAGTTAAAGCAAAGAATATGGGTGATTATTTCTTTCTTTACTTTTTTGTAGATATTTATTTACTTTTAAAGGATTAAGTTACAATTACCACTCCATCTATATGTATTCAGTAGCCTTTATCACCCTTCAGCTTGTAGATATTTATTTTCTTTTAAAGAATAAGTGGTACACTTGACACATTTATGTATGTGTATATAATGTTTGTTATTTAATTCTTAATGAAAAGTCCTTCTAAGATAATCAGGTGTCCAAATGTTTTCACGAGTCACTAGCTATCAATCCAAACAATCCCAGGACCATGATATAGGGAAGTGTAAGACTAATGTTGTATTATGCTTTTCCTAGCATTAAATTTAATAGTGTATGTCTAGAAACCATAAATAAGTCTAATAAGGAAAAATTAAATGCAAGTCCGACATCATCTCGATGAGAAATCTCAACAACCACCTGTCACTCCAGGCTGGCTACGTGCAAATAGCTGATGCACTAAAGTCTCTAGATTAGCAGTCTTCTGAGCTTGTGCGTTCATCTGCTCGGCTTGTGCGTTCATCTGCTCGGTTTGTGAGGCAATCTGTTCGGCCTGCACAGCTACTGTCTCCTTTAAAGCCACGACCTCAGCATCTCGCTCAGCTAACTTTGCAATAGACCTTGTAGATGAACTCCTTCGAAGGTAGATCCCATACCCCTTCAGGTAACCTGGCCTCCTTCCAAGTACATCAATGGAGATCTCAAACTCGTTCATCAGAGATTTAACTTCGGGCTGAGATTGTTCGATAGTCTTGTTGACTAATCGCTCCTGTCATTTTAAAAGATGTAAGATCCATATTATTAATGAATAGATATAAGTTTTTTTATAGATTGATTTAACAAAAGTTAATTGGACATACGTACATAGGTATCTTGTGCTTTCTCGTTTACCCATACTTTCCTTTTTTTGGTAGTGGGTTTCCTTGTAAAATACCGGAAAAGAGGGAGCTTGTCCATCATCTTTTGATTTCTGTAATTTAATAAATTTATCATTATGGTTGTTAATAAATATTTATAGTCTATTCATTTAAAGTAAAAACTTATAAAGCAAAACTTACAATTAGTGACACCGCTGTTGCAAATGTTCGGGAACCAGATATATGATTGTAGGGCAACTTTGATCGACTCTCCTTCGCTTTATAAGATTTTGTCTAATAACCAATATAAAATATATTATTATAATATATCACAACAAATAAAATTAACATGACAATTTAATAAATTGATTTGAGATATATACCTTCCATTCTTCAGTTTCCCACACATCGATCATCGATACCCAATCATTGGGCTCCACACGCTTCGGTGGATGGTTCTTGGGATCAGGTACTCGCTTCTCTATTAAACCAAGATAGTAGATGTGCAACTCATGCTTCCAATTTCTATATATACTCTGACACTTTTTACTACATCACTGTTATGCTTGCACAACCTTAAGTTAGCTATTGTAAATAAAGTTAAATGCACTCTGTTTTTCAGAGTAGGAAGCAGAATATGGAGGATTTAACTTTTTGTGAATCTGCAGTATAACATTTTAACAAAGTCCATGACTGAAGGTGGCAAAGTGAATCAGCTTTGTCCAGAAATTTATTTGGCAGTTGTCTGCAGCAGGTGTATCCACTATCTAACTAAAGGTACCTATCAATGTTATCTTCTTATGTGGGCATCACTGAAATTATATTGAAATTAGCCCATCAAATAATTAAAATTGCTATTAGGTTCCCTTATCCTTATAAGTTATTTCAAATTAATCCCTCTTCTTGCTACTTGTAATCTTGCATGGAGAGACTAGTTTTAAAATAACTTAACAACTAAGGGGCCGAATGTCAATTTTAACAATATGAATGGTTAATTTAAAAAAAAAAATAACTGAAGTACTAGAGGAGTTGATAACTCTGTATAACGCCTGCTAGATAAAGTTGTGATTCTAGACTTTGTTAAGTCTAAAAAGAATCTTGATGATCCTTGACAAAGGGTCTATCTAGGAGTGCAATCCTAGAATCATCGAGGGGAATGAGGTTAAGCCCATAGTAGAGTTCACTAACAGCGGGAACCCAACCTTTGATTGATGAATTATTCTCATGAAAAAGGTTCAATGTGGTAATTTCTTTTGGGCTTTTCACAATTTCTTTGTTTGCTCTTTTGCTTGTGTTTTTCTTTAATTCGTGGGCTTAGGCTTTTGGTTTGATTTTTCACTTTGGCTTCTTGAATTTCCATTGGGCTTCTTGATTTCCATTAGACTTCTTGATTTCCCTTATTTCTTCATTTACTCAAGGGTCTTTGTTGAGAGATGAGATTTTTGGGGTTTATTCTTTATTAACCTGCAATTAAAGATAAAAACAATTATTAGTGGTATATTTATTCATATAAAATAGATAAATAAGGGTATAAAATTGTAATAAAATGTGATTATCAGGAACCGTGACGGTCGTGGTTAGGGACATGGGGCTGAGTCCTAGTAACTCTCATGAGACGGTTATTGTGAGCATGGCCATTATCGCTCCGACCCGCTCGCTCAATAAATGGATGCATATTATGTGTGCTTTTGTTAATTTCTGATCAAGGGGCCTAATTCAAGGTCTAATCCATTATGCCTCTCAGATTGCGACAAATGTCACTAAGCAAAGATTCAAAGCCGAAAGCTATCTTTGCCGAATTCATAATATGAGGTTGCCCGACCTATATTTTGTTACCATTATTATTGTTTTGTTATTATTATTATTCTTTTATTCCCCGAAACTCAATCTTTTGGGGGGGATTGTTGGAATTAATTAAAAGATTGAAGTTTCTTCTTTAATGCAAATATTATTTTTTAGGGGTGTATTTGCATATTACCTATTTCCTTCCTTATCTATTTCTATAACGCTTCTGTTTCCCAAATTAACACCTGTCATCCTCCGCTCTCTCCTCCTTTCCCATTCTCTGCTCATTCCTCCGAACGGAAATCTCGTCGGTAACGTAGGCGTCATCTCCGGCCTAATTAACGAGCGTGGACTCCTCCTTGATGGCAGCAATTGTTCCAATGGAAAATTCAAGATAGCTATAAAAAGGGGATTACGATGAAGGAAGGAAAATGAGCAGCTTCAGTTCTCTCTCTCTCTCTGACTTATTTTCTCTACAATTGATTTCTAATTTAATTTTGGGGCAAACATCCATTGAGCAAGAGATCAAAGTTTCGCAGTAAGCTTTGTTGCCGGCTTTCTCGGGGGGTTCTTACCGCTAGGCGTAGTCGCATCATATCGTCTCTGCGAAGGCGGCGACTATTGTTCTAGGGCAGTGATCACACGATTACCCCTTCTCAGGCCTGCGTTTCCTAACCCTCTTTTGAATCCTTTTGATTATTTGCAGGGATTTTTTCTAACAGATTTATCCACCTCTTGTGTTACTGGAACATAAACGTTCATAACCAAATCTATACAATAAAGTTGTGGGACATTTTGGAGTGTCACTCATCCGCCGAAAGATTCTCTCTCTTTTGAGTGATTTCACCTTTTTTCAAAATTACTGGTGAATAAGAAAGAAGATACCCTGTTTCTGGAGTATGTATGCTTTGGAAACAGATACACTTGCATATCACAGTTTCTATAGTAGGAAGAATGATTTGTACTAAATTTTTGAAAACATAAAAAGTATTTATTGAGAGGAGCAGATAAGATATGCTGATTGATGCATGAATAATTTTTATTACATCATCTTTTGTTATCTAATTTTTGACTTTGATATTTTTACAGAATAACTTGTGAATAAGTTCTTCTTAATGATAATTTTTATACTAAATTATCTATTATGATTTAATTGCATTTAAATAGAAACAAATCAACAACTTCTAGAGTAATTAAATTGGTTTATATGTATAGCTTCAAATCATAGACATTTTATGTTTTGTCCCAAAATCATGGTCATATCTAATTTGCATTCTGATCTAATTTTCAAAAAAAAATTCCTCGCAATCTAATTGTTGTTACAATTGTACAATTAATTGGTAATAGGACCTTTGCTAAGAACTTGCTACTATTTAGAGAAGGGGACACTTATTTTGTTCACCAAATTAAAGCCTGTTTAAATAGCTATTCTGTTGTATCTGGTATACATCACAATTCAAAAAAATGTGCTATCTTTGCTGAGGTTATGAATGATGCTTCCAAGAGAGATTTGATCTCTGTTACTAGCTTCATGGAGGGATTTTTTCTTATTAGATATCTTAGGATGCCTCTTGTTAGTAAAAGGCTTTCTTATGTTGATTGATCTAGCCTCATCTAAAAAGTTACTTCTCAACTTATGCTTGGCATGAAAAAGAAAAGTTATCATATGCTGGATGCTTGCAGCTCATAAAAAACAGTTATTCTCCCCATGAAAGGTTCCTGACGAGGTTGATGAACAACGCAGGAAATTCCCATGGGTTTGTTTAGATTCTGTAAAATCTCATTCAGTTTCATCAGATCCTAGGCAGTAGATACAGTAGTCTGGATATTTTCTCTTCTATCCATTGGAGGTTTTGCAGCTGGCCTTGACTTCTTAGGCACAGACATAGAAAGAAGGATAATTTATGTATCAAGTGGATTCATGGGAACTATCTAAAGCATTCGTCTGCATGAAATGTTCGAGCAGAACAGGGTGCTTCTTGGCTACGAAAGCAGGTAACTAAGTTGAGAATCATGCTCTACTCCTCTAGGGGTCAGCAGAAAGTTTCATCCTGGTGGTTCAATCTTGGTGTTATCACAGATTTATTATGTTTTCTGATGTTTATAGAGATAAAATAGATATGTTTTCTTCTCTACTATATGCACGGATCGCTATCATGGATTGGCTTAAGTTTAACTGGAGATTTTTAAGATTGGGATAGCTTAATTCATTGGTTTTGTCATAGACTGTTTGGAAGATGGATTGCTCTGGCTAGTGCGACTTACCATACTTAGTGATTATGTAGTAATCATATTTTCATGCACTAAGCCATGACAGAGTTGCAAACTATCAAGTAGACTAATTAAGGTTGTTATTCTCATTGCTTCTAGGAGTAACTTTATTCCAGATTTGTAAATGTTTAATTACATTACATCTAGTTTTGCTCAATTGTGAGTTGTGCTTTTAGGCATTTTTGTTTGCCAAATGTCCTTACATGGTGAATGCGGTAAAATGTTTCATTGACAAAAATAGTGGACCTCAGTTATCCTTACTAATATGTTCAGAAAAAATTAGAGAAAGGAACAGGAGGAGAACGATAACTACAAGGAATTTAAAATAGATAGTATATGATTTTGAAAATATCTGTCAGGATAAAAACTTAATTAAACTTGAAGGTGAAGAGTTCTAGAAGAATCTCATATCTCAACAATACGTGATCCATTGTTCGTAGTTTGCACCCAATGTGCAATGAGCTATCATTCAGCTCTTTATCACTTGTATTCTATTTTATTAGATTATACACCCGCTCTAACCCCCGCCTCTGTTGATCATGACTTCCATTGAAGCCAAACGGAATTATACTGCTAATGATGATGAAACTAGATGTTTATGTTATATCAATTCAATCTCTTAGAGAAACAACAACATGGAACAAGTGATCATGCATAATCCTGATGGCCATGAAACTGGAAAGGTATGATATGTCTCTTCATCCTTACACAAAAAAGCAACATGGAACAAGTGACCACAATGCCTAACGAGTGACTGAACTCTTAGGTGCCTCTTTCATGAAGTACACGAGAACGCGATAAGCTGACAATAGCATCCTCCCTCACTCCCCCCACAGTAGGCTTGCAATTAAAGAACCTCAGCCCACTGTATCTCCTCTTCTCTTTACTTTTCTTCACGCTCTTTGTACACTCCAAATATGCAGCAACAAAAGGGTCTTCTTTCCTTGTACTCCTATTCCCATGAATAATCTTTGCCAATGAATTGAAATGACAAAACAGTGAAGGAAAATAGGAGCTATCAGTTGAAAGGTTTGGACTTGGAGGAGGGACTGGCAACCTAGGAGCCGCATTCTCTTCTCTTGATTCTTTTCTTGGGAATTCTTGTTTTGAAATGCCAGGTTGTTCCTCCCATAAGAAAGGAACACTTTTGGGAGATAATGCTGTT